TATTTCCAAAATACACGATTTACCAAAAAAAAACGCGCAAAGCTCGGTCCTTAATTTTAAATATAATACTCACAATACTAAACATGGCATTATAAATATAACTCGTCCCCATTAGCCTAGTGGATAGTGAACGTGTCTCCAATGCCAAAGAGTGTCGATTCGATCCCCACTACCGGAAAAATGTTACACGAAGAACGTGGCGTTTTACAGTGTGCGGGTGTTTATATAATGTGTAGAATAACTATATGTAGAAAAGTATTTTTAATTACAACGCTACTTACTTTGCAACTGGAAAGTCATGTAAAGATGTGTCCTGAAATAATTATATATTTATTAACTTATCGTGAGAGGGGGTCTCGTGAAGGTCTCCTCAAAGGATTTCCATATGGCGTCTACCCATCCTATGTGAAAACACATCCGCAAGTATAGTAATCATCAGCAAGTATAGTATGAACTATAAACAATCTCGCCGCCTTTAGAGAACCACTGCGCCACGAAGTCACCGTATAATTGTTACATTTCGCACCAGACATTCGTGGGTGTAACCTCCCGACGACATGGCGCCCACGCAAAAGTTATCATATACTAATGAACCGTTAACTATTGTTCGAAGAAAAAGAAAAAACAAATTCGGCGACATATTTGTTGAACGTGCGTGGCTGTTTTTCAAAACGCTTACACGTGTCCAATTAGGCTGGAGCTCTGCCATTCCAATAGTCAGAAAATGTTATTCAAGAATGTTGTTACACATTTTTACTTCAGAAAAAACGATACAAAATATAATCACAATGATCAAAATTGTTTCCCATTCACATTCCTCATCAATACAACATGTTTAAGGACATTTATTAGCACGTAAAACTGGGAGCGCTACTCTTGTATTCTTCCACATTCATACGTTTTTTTACGTCAAGTTAATTTCTTTCAACGCGTTCTCGATATGTCTGCGGTTTTTACTGATGATCATTAACAAAATTGACTTTGAAAGAAATTGGATTGATTTTTCCCTTTCAAATGTACTTTTACTCTGCGTGTAACGTGCAGCGTCCTACATAGAGAATAAATTATAGAGAATAATAACATATCGAAACCAAGCATAAAATAATTACGGTGGTAGGGCCACGCAGCAGCCTCGGCTGTTGCACGAATGGGCAGACTCGTCCGGGTGGGTACCACGACCTCACAGAAGACCGGCGTAAAGTGGAAGTATAATACTTTCGCGTTTCGTCTGGTGAGTGAGGTGGCCGGAGCCCAATTTTCAAAAAGATTGTCAACGCATCTACAAACCTTCGGGTGTAGCAGATGTCCTTGGTATTCACTTAACATCAGGTGAACCTTCTGCTCGTTTGGCAATTTTTCACATAAAAAAAATAATATATAATAGCGTTAATAATATTTAACACGTTTGGGTTAGATTCCCATGCATGTTACGAACTTTTATATCTAGGTATTTTATCTTTTTTTTGTATGCTTACTATATATGTATGTATGCATTTATTTGTTACCATGTTCACACACAAATTAAGAACTTAATATTTATTTTTAAACTAAATTAAATGTACATTGTTTTCAATGTTATCCAAGTACTTTTTTGCGGTTGTCGTTCACTTTTAAATTTTGACAACAAATTTGAGTGGTAATTCTAATTTTCTGTTCACACCCAATTTCACAAGCCGTGATGTACATAGGTTTTAAGAAATATGTACATAGTATTCACTGTCTTTAGTGATAAGATATTTTTTACTCCGGTTAATGTAAAGCGTATTTTACATTTACAAAACTACCTTCGACTATCAGTTTATTATCGAAGTTTTCTCTTGAAGTTAGACAGCTTTAACAAATTATTTAATATTTTAATATTTTACGGTGGTAGGGCCACGCAGCAGCCTCGGCTGTTCCACGAATGGGCAGGCTCGTCCGGGTAAGTACCACGACCTCACAGAAAACCGGCGTAAAGTGGAAGTATAATACTTTCGCGTTTTGTCTGGTGAGTGAGGTGGCCGGAGCCAAATTTTCAAAAGGTTGTCAACGCATCTGGAACCCTAGCAGATGTCCATGGGCGGCGGTATTCACTTAACATCAGTTGAACCGTCTGCTCGCTTGACAACATTTCACATAAAAAAAATGTTAAGTCCAATTGGCAGGGGGGTCGGCGTTAAACTATGTCCTAATACCCCTTGTAAAGAGGAGGCCTTTGCCCATAAATATGATCGGAACTCCCTTTTTTAGGGTTCCGTACCCAAAGGGTAAAACAGGACCTATTAACATATTACAAGACTCCACTGTCTGTCTGTCTGTTCGTCTGTCACCAGGCTGTGTCTTATGACAGCCCTATAGTCCCGGGCTTATAGAATAGGGCTAAGGTATCCTCTGCCTGTCGTAAAAGCCGACTAAAAGGGGACACGGATGGGCAGCAGCACGAAGTGGTCTCGTGTTGTGTAAGAGGATGAGGGGATTGGAGAAGGTTTATCCTTCTCCGAGGCGTGCTCAGGCGTAGTACCGAGGGACACCGGTGCGTTCCATGGGAGATCCCGGAGTCCCTCCTAATGTACAGAAGGTGGCCACCGAGGGGGTTTTAGTGGGTAACAACCCCACATAACCCTGTCATGTAAAGTGACAGGGTATCTTTTGAAGATTTCCCCCCCGATACCAAAAAAAAATAAAAAGGCATTTATGAATCGTAATAGTTGGGCAATTGAAATTTTAACAGATTATGTATTTCTGTTGCCGCTATAACAACAAGTACTAAAAATCAGAATAAAAAATATTTATTTATCCTTTTTTTTTATTTTAGAACTGGCCAGCACTTGACTGCCATCCCGCCTGATGGTAAGTGGCGATGCAGCCTTTAATTTGAGCTCCCATGTAGCTGACATGCATTTTTTGCCGTTTTTTTAGATAATGGTATGCATTTCATCTATCGATAATCAAACTCTGCCATCAAAGTCAAAATATTTCTTATATTTTACACGTGCCTGAGAAACTCCGGATAACTTTTTTGTTGTTGTGTATCACAATTGGCTCGTGGAATATAATATGCTGGTAAAGAAATGTTATATTTCTCGACCTTCTATTTGAATGGCGGCTGTGCTTCGCGAATCGTTCAAGAAAAGTTAAAATATTTGTTTTTGTATTTTACACGTGCAATGGGAGATTCCAAGTAACGTTCCTGCTGTTGTACTCGTATGGTATGTATCTTAATGAGCTAGTCAAACATTTTTGTTAAATATGTAACGTTTCATTGATCTTTTACTTGAATGGTAGTTTGAACGGTGGTTGTGAATTGACTGAATTATTTTGTTGAAAAATTTATGTTAGATGTATATTTGTTTCAACAAGTGATTAACATAATTATAATCTATATTAATAGCCGAAAAGTATTATCTATACTTCTATACTATATTATAAAGAGGAAAGATTTGATTGTTTGTATGTATTGAATAGGCTCCGAAACTAGTGAACCGATTTGAAAAATTATTTCACTGTTGGGGAGCTACATTATCCCCGGTTTATATAGACTATATTATATTTTCAAAAAAATAGGGATCCTTACTAAAACTTCAATAATGTTACCCAAAGTGTACAAAATATCACTATATAAAATATTATAATTATCTAAAATATTTTTACATCGCGTGCTCTGCGAAAACTATTGATGATAAAATAATGTACTACGAATTTGTAGAACACATCATTATTTACAAAAAGTGTCGCGACAGCATATCTCTAACTATTATAGTTATGCCACAATAAGTGTTCTTTTATTTTAAAATTTTGATTGGTATGCCGCCGCTAGAAAAGGCTCTTTATTTGTATCTTGGTATTAATCTTTAAAAAGTAAATTACTTCATATATAAGACAGTTTCAATATCTTAATATAACTTTTTGAATTATTAAATTCGGACATTCCATTCGTTAGATATTACAAGTTTAAAAATGTTTGTATATTGTAATTTAACTATGCAAACAGCTTAGTGACTGACTTAGTAGTTCTTGGGGCCCACATTATTAAGAAGTGGCAACGCATCTGAAATTCTACGGGTTATGCAAATGTCCATGGGCAGGCGGTATCACTTAACATCAGGTGAACCGCCAACTCATTTGCCACTTCCTGACATAAAAAAAAGATAAAGGACCGACTGGCTAGGGCGATACTTTTCTCTTACAGACAAGGTCCGGATGAGAAACAAAAACAATGAGGGTTAATAAATGGAACCAATAAAAAATAGCTCGCGAGCGCTTTCTCAAAAAGTTATCGGCAGAATCATTCCACTCTTATATATAATAGAGAATAAAGAATAATACGTCCGAGTTGCTAGGGAGTGCGGGCCGGACTGAAAACCAGTGTCGGAATCAGAACAATGTTAGTTTCTGTATCTCGATTTTCACTGAGTCCCGTCCGTTTCACGGTCTTATGCTGCTACATAGACCTTCATTTATTTTTATTATGTGCGTAGTTCTATTACTTTCTAAGATGTTTTATATATGTATTGCAATGAGACCGTGAATAAATCCTTCATATTTAAACTTCTTCATAACATTTTTTTCGTTCTTTCTTTCTTCTCTTATAAAAAACCGAATTTTACGGACACTCATCATATATTAAATTAAACTAGTTTACAGATTTTATCGCGTCTTTATTTTGATTTAATCTTCCCACCCTTTTCATCGTTCGGGACAAACTAAGTTATACGTCTTGATGCCATAGTTAACCCCGGCTAACGTCAATTATTTTATAGATATTATAAAAATCGAAACGTCTGAGGTTCAAATCAAAATAAAAACGCGATGAAATCCCAATAAACAAGTTTCGTTTAACATCCTTACTAATATTATAAATGCAAAAGTTTGTATGTATGGATGTATGTTTGTTACTCTTTCACGCAAATACTACTCAATGGATTTTAATGAAACTTTACAATGATATAGCTTATACAACAGAATAAGATATAGGCTAAAATTTATCTGTCTTTCAGTCCGAATGTTACGCCTTCAGACTATTCTACGCAGACGTAGTAGTAGCAGCAGCTAGTGTGTAATATTCGCGTAAAATCAAGAAGTAGACGCTCACCGTAGCTGTTGCAGACGAGGTGAATGCGCGCCGAGTCGTGGCGGCAGTCCTTCAGCTCGCGCAGCAGCCCGCCCTCGCGGCGCTGGAAGGCGCGGTACGACTGCGCCACTCCGTGCACTCTTTCCGGCTGGGGGATCAGCGGCGCGTGCACCACGTCCGGCACCTTGTGCGCCTGCACCCGCCCCGCCCTCGTGCCGCCCACCGTAGCGCTGCGGTTCACCACACTGCAACGGGGCGGTCAGGGTTGCACCGCATTTTTTGTGGCAAACCAACTCGCCTGATGTTAAGTGATAACCGCCGCATGTGGACGTTTGCAACATCCGTTGGGTTGCGGATGCGTTGTCGCCTTTTAATTAAGTCGGCACCGGCCAACTCCATCGCCAGACGAAGCGCAGAAGTGTAACAGCTCTAGTTCACTCCGCTCTTGTGTGAGGTCGCGGTACCAACCAGGACGGACCTGCCCATTCGTGCAACTGCGAACACTGTTGCGTGGCCTTACCACAGCTACTACACAGTTACTCAAAAGCCAAACTACAGCTCTCGTTTTAGTTTGAATCGGCTGCCTCGTTCGGGCAAGTGCTACGGCTAGAAGAGAGTATATTTAGAGTGTTGCGTTTACGCTTGTTAAAGTTTAGGCATTTCCTGGCAATAGCCGAGATTAATGCCAGGTAGAAGAATAAGTTTATCCCTGTGAAAATAGCAAAAGGTGGTGACAGCTTATCCACTTTTCGTATGGCTTGCTCATTTGCCACAATTTATAATATGATTAGTTGGCAAGGGAACAGTCAGTTCACCTGATATAAAGCGATTAACGCCGCCGATGGACATCTAATACTCCTGAGTTAGCCCGGATTATCTTGCATGGCCCTACCACCTCTTATACAAAGTAAAGATTTGTACAGGTGCATGCAAATAATATTTTTTAATGAGAATTCCGATTGCTCTACTTGCTCAATTGGCATCGAGTGCCCTGTTTTCGATTTTTGTAGGAAACAAGTAATTTAAAAATGTTATTTTTTATATTATTTAACTCAGTATCCTAAATTCCCCGCACTGCTCGGTACTTACGACTCAGTGTTGTCACCAATGAAATTGTCGATTGCGATTTTGCTCAGCATTGAAAGTGAAATTATCATATATAAATTCAGTATGTATATTTCTGTTTTTTTTTTGCCCAAACATTGTCATTACTTTAGGTATTACCTGTGTTGTAAAGACGTTTTACAAACATAAATTTGACTTGCACAAACACCTAGATGCGAAACAACTATCTGTGGGTGGCCCAAATAGTTTTTCTGTGTGAGAATCGAACCCACGATCCCCGACGCGGAGGCCAATACCTTGGCAACTGCGCCACATAGTCATCAAAATACTCATATTTGAGTCGCACTAAAATAAGGATAGGAATTTAATAAAGGGGGACATTCTCTCCCTAACAGTTCTCCAAGTTTTTACTTATGACAACAACTCACGAGTATCCGAGCATGGAGCACAGCTTGACGGCGGTGCCATCGTCCAGATTGCTGATGCAGGCGGGAAACCAGGACTGATTGGCGGCTCGGTAGACCTGCAGCTCGCCGCGGCCCACGTCACCATTAGCCTCGCTCAGCCGCACTGTGGACACACGCTACGGTCACAAGAGAGTCAAAGTAAATCCTAGTATCTTGTATCTTGTACTAACTGATGTTTGTGCTTTCAGTCCCGAGACTATTAAAGCTTCATCTGAAGCAGAACCGGTGGGCTAGCTAGAGCCCACGGGTTTGGGCCCTCCGCTGTGGGTAGGGCCACGCATGTGCTCATGCGTACGTTTAACTACAGGCATGTCACCTAAGAAGTAAAGCCTGCTCAATTTACTAACTTAATGAGAATATGACATATGCCCGGTTCCTATATTCAACGAACGGCCGTTAGTTACATAGCTTCGTAACTTTCGTAAAGACTTGTAGATTAAAGGAACGCTAGTAACTCACTTTCCGTACGTAATGCAACGGCTCGTAAGGAAAACGCCTCGTTTTGTTAATATAGGAACCGAGCGTACACGTCTTTTGTCTACAAGTCTTTATGAAAGTTACGAAGATATGACGTTACGACCGTTCTTTGAATATAGGAACCGGGCAATAGCCAAGATATAATAGTCATCTATCTAACCGCGAGGTTACATCCGTTATAATTGAGCTCCGTTCGCGCGTTCCTTGGTTTTTATCGTCTGATTAATAGCTTTTGGTGTTTGTTATAATCTAATATATAAAATTCTTGTGTCACGGTGTTTGTAATTGAACTCCTTCGAAACGGCTCAACCAATTGTCGTGAAATTAGGGGTACAATTGTTGTGTGCATACAGGCCAGGATGGAGAATCGTACAACATCTGTTTTTCATCCCCCTAAATGTTAAGGGTGGTCCACCCCAAACATTTTTTTCTACCCTACAAAAAATTTCTATGGCAAAACAACGTTTGCCGGGTCAGCTAGTCTCTTTCTAATTTGGATTCTCTGCTTTATATTTGACGTCATTACAAGAAGCACTAGACTCCTTTGAGTTGTGGCAGGAATTATCTACGATATACATTTTTTATTCACCGACAAATTTTGGGGTAGTGGTCGCATTATTTTAATAAAGCTCTGTTTACCTTAACGGTGGTAGGGCCACGCAGCAGCCTCGGCTGTTGCACGAATGGGCAGGCTCGTCAGGGTAAGTACCACGACCTCACAGAAGACTGGCGTAAAGTGGAAGTCTATATAATACTATCGCGTTTCGTCTGGTGAGTGAGGTGGCCGAAGCCCAATTTACAAAAGGTTGTCAATGGATCTGCAAACCTCGGGTGTAGCGGATGTCCATGGGCGGTGGTATTAACATCAGGTGAACCGCATGCTGTTTGGCAACTTTCTTAAAAAAAAATACCTCCATTCCCTAACAAATACCTATCAGGATAATTGTTGTCAATAAACATATTATCACAGAGACACTTCCCAAAGCAAGAGAAGTGGAATGTGTTCGTAATTAAAATTGACCAGGAAACAATGTCTTCATCACCAAAGCAGTTGAAATGCATTTATATACAGACGATAGTTAAGTGGAATCCGTTCATGCAAAGGAAGCGTCCGGTTCGATTTACGGACAATGGTTCAAAATGGAAGAATATCTGTACTTATCTCGTGGCGTCGGAAATTTGAATTCTCATAAATCTGTTATCTTTCGATTGAACGCGCTTCCCATCGGAACGGAATTGAGTGGTGAATATGGCGATTCGAAAATCACACACTGTGTTTGTAAGACGGAAAAGTTCACATCGCGTTTGAATTGAAACTTTTTAAGGTGTAGTAGTAGAGATATTCATTATGTATTAATTCATTATGAAAATGCCTAAAATGGCTTAGAAACGCGTCAGCTGATTTTTATTTTGTCTGTTAGAAAGTTTGTTTGTATAGTTTTATAAGCATATAATATTAAATTATTTTCTTTAACTTGTCTTATTCAATTTATGGAACACTCATCCGCATATTTTTAATAGTAGGCAAAGGTTTGCAAATCTCTAAAATCATCTTCAACCAATTTTCTCAAAGGTATTTTTCTAGGAAAGCTATAACGTCCATAGTTCGTGATCAAATCTAATGATTAAAACAATATTTTACAGAAATATTTCAAATAATGTATTGTAAATATTACAAATTATAAACAATATTTTAAAGAATATATAGTAATACCATCAATTTGTAATTAAAAATAACTCAGTAGACTGAAATTTATCGTTATTCTACAACAAAAAAGACGGACGGACCTGCCTTTTCGTGCAATGGCGAACTGTCTCACGAGTGGCCCTACCACAGTAAAAAAAAAACACGTTATTTTATGGTATTGTATATAATTACCAATCAGTAATATATCTGCGAAAAACTTTCACAGGTCAACTAGAAGTGTTCATTTGCGATAGTAATAAACTTGCAAACCAAACCATTCAATTACAGTCGTCACCAAACTTGCGCTGAATCAAGCCGTTCTATAAATTCGGCGGCAATTCTCAGCGAATGCATCTCAATGCATTTTTGGCCGAGATCCAAACTAAAATTGCAGTTCATTTAGAAGATAAGGGGACGTTGCGAACACACTCCTTGTATGGAATGGAACAGAATGCTTCAGCGAAATTGGAGCTTTGAAATCGCTTTTATATTTCTGTTTTGTTTAATATTATAACAAGCTTTATTGGATGTAGATAGCGAGCAGCTTATAATAAAGAAGATAAAATACCAAACGTTACACTGCGATTGTCTTACATAATCACGTAAAAGTAAACTGTCAAGATACAAGTTATACAAGTACAAATTCAAATTTGCTACCTCCAATTAAATTGTTAATTGTAAGTGCCGAATTATCACGTGCAATGCGGCGAGGAAAACATCGTGAGGAAACCTGCATATTTTCGAAATAATAACGAAAAAAAATTCGAAGACATCCGCACCCAATCCGCAGTGGGGCCGCGCGGACTATGCCCTGATACCATCTGTGCAGAGGTCTTCGCCCAGCAGTAGGGCGTGTATAGGCTGTAACTTAACTTAGCTTTAACCCACTTAAGGGGCTGAACGGTGCGGCGGACGCGAGTGCGACCAGGGCTAGACTCACGGCAGTTCCTCTCGTCCTGGCCCCAGGGGCAGTCGACCCTGCCGTCGCAGAGGTGGCTCTGCGAAATGCAGCGCTGGTTGCCGCAGTGCACGTCGCCGCCGCGCTTGCACACGCGGCAGTTGAGCTCGTCCGAGCGATCCGCGCAGTCGACGTGGCCGTCGCAGCGCCAATCGTGCGGGATGCACCGCCTCACGTCGCACTGGAAGCCGCTGGGGCACACTGCCGGAACGGCCCTCGGGGACTTAGCACTTCACACCTTTGATGGCTCCGTGGCGCAGTGGCCAAGGTATTGGCTTCGGCGTCGGGGTTCGTGGGCTCGATTCCCACACGGCGACTGTTTGTCCGACCCACAGATAGTAGTTTCGCATCTGGGTGTTTGTCCGCATGAAATTTGTGTTTGTGAAACGTACTTACAACACAGGATAATGTTAGGCTAAAGTAGGGGCAATGTTTAAAAAAAAACTTGGGGTCATGTCATGAAAATCGGCGTTGTAGTTTTTTACTTCACCGTTTTGCCGGCTGATGTCATTTTTGGTATGACTACGACGTACAATAGTATATCTCAATAATGATTACAGTAATATTACAAGCGAGAAACGTACTACGTCCACAAACAAATTAAAAAGCCATAAATGCGTTATATACAATACATCAACAATTACAAAAGAACGTAAGTCATTGTGGACATATCCAATAAAATAAGTAAACACTTAATAAAAAAATAGATATAACATTATATTTCCTTAAGTTGAATATAATCTATAAAACTAGTGAAATTCAAAATTATCATAATTAACTATTCGATTTCAGCTTTTCCTACGGCAGATTGTAACGTAAAAGTCTAAAAATAATTAATAAGGGTAGTCAAATATTTCCTTTCTTTTTATTACTTGTTCACAAAGTAAAAACTCCTGAGTTATTTCATAAATAATTTTATAACTTATTTCTATACACCCTAGACCTCAAATTATTCTTGCTCAGTATAAGAAGTTATTTTTAATTAAAATATCTTTTGCCTTAAGTTCATGGAATGATTGTTAATATGCTAGGAATTTATTCTGATAATTTGATAATCGTGAAAGTTTATATAACGTCACGTAAGGAACTTTATAAAAAGTCATATCTACATTTTTAAAACTTAAGGCATCTAACACTTTTTTTAATTGTTCGAATTTCCAAAACTAAATAACAATACAACAAAAACTCCCATCAAATAAGAGCGAGTCGCAATTAAGGGACATTTATCTGTAAACGATAACAAAACGAAACGAAACATATCGTAACTGTCATGTGAGAAAAATAGATTTGGTTACTGGAGATAGAAATTTGACGTAAGAATCATGAAGCGTTAAATATCTGTCGTTAGTAACCAGATCTATCTGTAGATAGAATATTGAAGCCAGCAGTTAACGGCAACGTAGGGTTGTCTCAAGTCATACCTGGCTTAGCGGCCCTGATTCTGGCCTCTTTGACCTCTCTGTTCCCGAGGCAGACGTCCGTGTCGGTGGACTCTGGAAATATCTCGCACTGCAGATAATCTGGCATGGACAGCCCGAAGACCTCCAGGAAGAAGCCGCAACGGCGCATCGTCTCTGTCGGGGCGATAGAAGAGTCACACTCGGAGAAGCCATTCTTATCACTACATACTATAGAACAAAGTCGTCCCGCTGTCTGTCTATCCCTATGTATGCTTAGATCTTTAAAACTACGCTACGGATGTTGATGCGGTTTTTTTTTACTGGATAGAGTGATGTGAGAGGAAAGTTTATATGTATAACACTTTGCACCCGTGCGAAGCCGGGGCGGGTCGCTATACTAGCGAGGTATACAGTAAAAAGGAGTCAAGCTGATTAAAGATTTTCATCGCTTGTGCTGATCTATTTTCTGTTTCCGTGACGTTTCGCAAGTCGAGACTGACCTTGGCACAGGCTCCGGCACGGCCGCACCATGTGCCCAAGGGGGCCGCATTTTGGCACGAAAAGGGAGCAGAGGAACAAGGCGGTCAGCTCGTAGCAGCGGACGTCCACGACGGCGTCGTAAATCTCCAAGTCCTGATGAATTCAAGTTTGAAATTAGAACACGCTGAAAGGAACGAGCGACTGATATCTGGATAATAATCACTGTCCTTATTCATCAACAACACTCAAAGAGTTAAAGATAATATGTTGTCGACTTTTGAATTAAGTGGAAAGGTATAGATTATATTGAATGGGGCATTGTTTAATAACGTAACAGTAGAAATAAAAACTAATATATAGTTAAATTTCACGCCATTCTTCTTATAGTGATAGACCGTCATAGTTCACTAGCCCAGACCTCTAAAGACTAATAGTAAAACAGCAATTGCGCTATGTAACTATAACAATGCAAAATGTTGAAAAAGACAATACGATGCGATGGTACGAAACCAGAAAGCCAAGTGCTTATTTACAACTACAATTATAAAAGGAGATTACATTCCCTTCTTTACTAGTTGCTGCTTTTAAATGAAGAAATAAATATAAGCCTTTTTCATAACAGTGTTATCTTACGTTGTCAATATTTTTCCGTTCTTAATTCGCCCTACCGTGGCCCCAAACTTCGCACCGTATACAAAGCACAATTTTAACCACCACAATTCCAAATTAAAGAAAAATACATTCGTCCATCGACGCCCCGTCACTTACCGACCGACCACCAATTAGTAAATATAAGTAATTATAGGTATCTAAAAACCTCTATCTAATAAAGAAATCGATCCCAAGTCAGATTAATTTTTAATTCACATTAATGTATTTATACTATGTAAAAAGGTCTATAGTAAGAAATCGTTAAAATACGTTAAAGCAAAAGATATATTTTTATAGAAATTTTATTATGCCCTATAGGGCGTTGTTAATCCTTATCTTGTCTTTAACGGTATACCGTTACAGACAAGATAAGGATTAACAATGCGTTAATTGTTCAGACTCGGAGCATAAGCTTATTTAGTATAATTAATTGAACCGAATTCATTATCACATATATTCTGGCTAGGAAACAGAGGCACAAAGCCTCTGTTTCCTAATATAATACTCTCGATCAATGTTGCGCGTGAACATCTGAAGTACCCACCTACTCGTAAATAATACGTTTATACACAGTCATATGAAATTATAATCTCAGGTAGACAGGCAGGTTTAATGTGGGAGAACATTTAGATATGTAAAAAATCTTCGGACCAAGTTCATAATTATGAGTAATTCAATTCTTTAAACCGACTAGATTTAACACAAAATATCACCTAAAATTAATGCACAAGGTAAACATTTAAATGAACTAGTAGTGGATATACTCGTAGACCTTACGAGGCAATATTAGTCATGTAATTGATTTAAACTGATTTTAGCAAAATCAAATACGTACTTAAATATTTACTTTGAATATTTAAATTAGATTAAACTTTTAAAAATGTGCAAATAAAATACGCATATAATTTCAACCATCTTTATATGAAAAATACGGGACGACTTTTCGTCTTTATGAGATCCATCGACTGGCAAACAAAAGATTAAATTTAAAAACTTTTAAATTATTAGAAAATTTTATATTCCTAACAATTGTGTGTTTCTAAAACTCAACACAGAACTACTTGCAATACGCTTAAAAGGGATTCGTATTACAAATCATCTAGCGTTAATACACCCGCTTTATTCAATACTGCTAGTGGCGGATTTCCGACGTACTATTGTAATTCCGACGTTGATTGATGCGTCGATGAAAGCGGATCTTAATTACTGGCGGTGTTAACGTCTACATCACGTACATCGAGTTCGGTTTGCGGCCGCCCGGCGCTGATGTTTCAATATGATCGCATAATCCGCCGCCACACACCGCTGATCCGCCTGATTGGAACCCGCAACGGACTTTCGGGGTCTATTAACCTGGACTGTCGCCCACCGGGAAATGTTAGCCATTACGGCGTATGGGATTGTGGTCGGAGGTTGCTTAATCGACACGTGCCCCCTTTTGTTCCCTCGGCCTCTTAATCGGACCTTTGATTTTGTAATTATGCGACTTAAATGTAATTATGTTAGGAAGTACCTCATCTCAATTATGTTAGGAAGTACCTCATCATACATATATCACCGACGTCCTCACGACAACAACACTTTAACTCTGCGCCCAGTTTTTAATTTCAAATTTATTAGAATTTGTAGATAAAAAACAGTGAAAAGTTGTGAACTCGATGTACATTAACTGCATTGTGGTGATAAATTAAAATTTATAGTGTTTTATTAGAGTTTTAAACAAAAATTATCAAGTCTCTTTTAATAAGTTCAAAAGCGTTTAAGTGTCATATAAAGTCGTTTACTTAAACGCGTAAGCGACGCGATTCGCACGGCGCTTACGACGTTTTGGACGGAAAGAATTCCTAGTGTCTAACCGTATCCTTTTAAATTGTATTCGTCTCATACATTTATTAAAAAAAAACGATGAATACCGCCGACAAATGTGCCGCCTGTCTCAATGAGTTAACGGACGTACCTTCAATGTATTGTACAAGCTGTAAAGAGCATTATCACTTGTTGTGCATAAACTTAAATCAGAAAGAATACAATGCCCTTACTGAAGAATTCAAAGCAAAGTGGATATGCGTTTCGTATTGCAGCAAGGAACGTAAAGGCGGCGATAAAACGAACACTCCAGTTCGTGGTGCTTTTTCGTCCCAGCTCGAGTTTGTCACTCAGCGCACTAAGCAGTGAACTATTTCTAATGGGCCCACTTTAACTGCTAGCGCAATTCGCGACGTAATTCGCGAAGAGCTTAGGATTTTTAAGCAAGAAATTAACCCACAGCTTCTGGAAGTGGCTAACGCCGTGTCCACCCTCCAAGCTACAATATCACTTTTTAATAGTGAACTTGAAACGTTGGAAGTTGAGCATGCCACACAGGCTTCAAAATTAGAACACTTGCATACTGAAAATAACACGCTAAAATCCATCGTGCAATCTCTTTCGGCACGACTTGAGCAGCTAGACCAACACTCACGTTCCACCAATATCGAAATCCAATGTGTCCCCGAAAATAAGCAGGAAAATCTTGTTAATATGGTGCAGCAAATGGGTAAAGTTATTAAGTGTCCTGTTAACGATGCCCATATTCATTATTGTACCAGACTGGCTAAGATGAATAATGGCTCCTCTCGCCCGCGCTCTATTTTAGTTAAACTTAGCAGCCCCCGACTACGAGACGAATTCTTAGCAGCTGCCAGTAAATTTAATAAAAACAACCCGGATAATAAATTAAAGACTAGCCACTTGGGGATAGGCGGCGATAAGAAGGCTGTTTTTGTAGTAGAACACCTTACTCCTGCGATCAAATCTCTACACGCTTCCGCTCGTAGCAAAGCAAGAGAACTGAATTTCAAATTTGTCTGGGTACGTGACGGGAGGATCTACATGCGGAAGAATGAAGAATCGAACTTCATCCACGTCAAAAATATGGAAATGCTTAAACATTTGTCATAATAACGCTAAATTTGTACACATATATTTATTTTATTTTTTTTACTTGAGGGCACGCTCACAATCTACTATCAAAATGTAAGAGGCTTAAGAACAAAAACTTTAGATCTTTTTAATAATGCTGTTTGTAATGATTTTGATATAATAGTTTTTACAGAGACATGGCTGAATAATAGTATTTCTGATAATGAATTATTCGATAGTCGATATGTAGTCTATAGGCGCGACCGTGAAAGCAGCGGGTTCCACAGTTAAAAAAAACGGCGTATTGATCGCGGTCTCAAAACGTTTGAAATCAATCCGTATGGTTGCTTATGAGTCTGACTGCGAGGATATTTGGATTCAACTAGAGTTGGGGAACAAGAAAGGTAATATCGAAAACTTTTATATGTGTGGTATTTTTATTCCCCCTCCCGTTCAAAAACATATTTTAGAACATTTTATACATAATTCTAACCGCATTTTAGAAAAACACTGGAGTAATACCATAATTGTCGGTGACTTTAACTTGAACAGTCTATCTTGGAATAAAGCGGAGGATGGTACGGTCATACCTGTAATGTCCAATAGATTCATGTACAATATGTTGACAGATTTTATGTCGTTAAACGATTTTTCTCAATATAATTGTATCTTAAACAACAAAAACAACATCTTGGACTTAATAATTAGTACTGTTACAATCTCTCAAATTAGTATATGTGCGACTCCTCTCTCAATCATCGACCCTTCGCATCCTCCGCTAGAATGGTCCATTTCATCCGGATACCAAGAAAAGCTGCCCTCAATCTCTGTACCCAGATATCATTTCCATAAAGCAGATTATCTTAATATCGTAAATGAACTGAATAATATCTCTTGGAACGAGGAACTGTTTAAATGCTCTACTGTAGATGATATGGTTACGGTCTTCTATAAACATCTTAGGTCAATAATCGCAAAGCACGTACCCAAAAGAACGCAGCGCAATCACAAGTTTCCCATATGGTTCTCAACTCCATTAATTAGGGTATTGAAGGAAAAGTTTAAATTTAGGCAAAAATTTTTTAATAATTAAATATGGTAACCCACGTGACTTAATAACTTTTGAATTACTCAGAGAGAGGAGTTGTAAACTATATAACTTGAATTACTACAGATATTTGCAGTGCTTAGAATCTTCTTTGACATCTAACCCTAAATATTTTTGGACATTTTTTTAACACAAAAGAAAAGGTAATAGCACTTTTCCAGGTTTAATGACTGCCGCGGACCGAATTGCTAACAAAGGACCCGATATATGTGACCTTTTCGTATCACAATTCTCTTCAGTTCATAACACTTCATCAAATATTCCAAATAAAGATGAGCTTTGTGTACCCACTGTTTCAAACTTTTTATCGACATTATCTGTTACCAAAAATCATGTCTACAGAGTGTTAAAAAGACTTGATATAAAGAAAGGAGCTGGTTCTGATGGGATACCGGCTATTTTTGCCGTTAAATGTGCGAGTGCGCTGGCAACCCCGCTCTACTTGATTATTAATAAGTCCCTTAGCTCTGGAGTTTTCCCGACTGTTTGGAAGGATGGCTTAGTTATACCCTTCCTAAAAAGTGGTGACGCCAGCTGTGTAGAGAATTACAGACCGATATCAATAATTAATATTTTCTCAAAAGTATTTGAACAGATTATGTGTCCATTACTATCATGGCATCTTAAGCAACTTCTCGCACCAGAACAACACGGTTTCGTTAAAGGACCACCAATTTGATATCCTTTGTCGAGGAACTTGTTGAAGGGATAGATGATGAAAAATCATTTGATGTTATATACACGGACTTCAGCAAGGCCTTCGACAGAGTAAACCACTGCATACTCCTGAAAAAGCTTGGGTCACTTGGAATATCTGGAACTCTCCTGTATTGGTTCAAATCTTACCTTCAAAATAGAAATTCTGTAGTCGTAATAGGAGGTCAAAAATCTAGACCGTTCACTTCCTTTTCAGGTGTTCCCCAAGGTTCCCATTTAGGCCCTTTATTATGTAATATATTTATTAATGTCATAAATAAATGTTTTCGGAATTCTAATGTTTATATGTACGCGGATGACCTAAAGTTCTTCAGCGAAGTAGACTCAGCTGAGGAAGAATCATTATTACAAAGTGACTTGAATAATCTTATTACGTGGTGTAGAATCAACGCGATGGACTTAAATGTCAGTAAATGCGTCATGTTTCGCTTCACTAGGTAAAAAACATCTACTCCCAGAACGTATCATATAAACGGCACGTTTTTGAGTATAACTGATCACATTAGGGATTTAGGGGTAATACTCGATAGTAAGCTGCGGTTTAATGTCCACATCGATAATTTAGTCAAAAAGTATTTTAAAACCCTAGGATTTGTTTTACGGAACTGCAAAGAATTTAAAAATCCTCGCACTAAAATTATTCTTTACTCGACATTAGTTCGCAGCACTTTGGAGTACTGCAGCGTCGTGTGGAACCCGCACTATGACATATATATTAAGCGGTTAGAGAGTGTTCAGAAAAGATTTTTATGGCATTTATCCTACAGTTGCAATTTTGCAAAAACACTACCGAGCTATGATGACCGGCTAACATATTTTCGTATAGCATCGCTTTACCATCGAAGAAAGCAGCTTGACGCCATGTTCCTGTACAAACTAGTCAATGGTTATATTGATTCTACTAAGCTACTAATGCAATTAAGTATCTCTGTACCTTCAAGACTTCCTAGATATAGAAAGTATAAACCATTCAGCACTAAGGCAGCGCGAACAAACTTGGGTCTACATTCACCTCTTAACAGATTAATGACTACATACAACGCATTACATAATTCTAGTGTTAATGAGTCCCCTAAATAAACTGATGAACTTATAAATGTTGTGAGAACCAGTAATAACGAGCTTGTTATTGATATTTTTTCAAACAAATATTTTAAATTTAAAAAATATGTACGTGAGGCTTAATTGATTTAACTTTGTTTATGTTTATTTATGTTTGTGGTTATTTTTCTTCTTTTGATCTTTTTTTTTAACTCTTGATTACTTTTTTGGATTTACTTTTTTTGTTAACATTGATGCTGCAAATTTCATTGTACTCACTATTCGCTGAGTTTTTATCTTATATTTAGTGTTGTTTTTTATTTTTTTCGCACAAATAGTTTTAAGTTCTTGTGTTGTTAAATTTAAAGCATAGTGGTTTGCACCTATAATTGAGATGGCACTCGGCAAGCTTGTTGTTAATAACATTATCTATAAATTGTCTAAATTTAGTGTTCATCTTGTTGGTGTAACAAAAATAAATAAATAAATAAAAATAAATAAATCTGTCAACTGACCCATGTCAAGTGTTCCGTAATTTTATTGATTTTAAACAAATAAACAAAACTTAACATATATATACTTAATATCTATAACTAATTTTAAATCTATTATATACAGTATTAAAAGTAAAAGTAAAGTAAAGTATCAGCCTATACATGTCCCACTGCTGGGCAATGGCCTCCTCTGTACAGAGGGTATCAGGGCATAATTCACCATGCGGTCCCACTGCGGATTGGCGGACTTCACATATCTTCGAAATATTTTTTTATTATTTCGAAAATATGCAGGTTTCCTCACGATGTTTTCCTTCGCCGCGGAGCACGTGATAAGTCAGCACTTAAAAGTTAAAAACTTCATTGGTGCCGGTACCGGGGATCGAACTCAGGTTGCTCGAGTATGTTGAATTAAAGGCGAGCGCCCGGACTCTGAGCTATCACGGCTCCTATACAGTATTAATTGGTGCATTATTAAGTGTATAAACCAAAATCTCATATTATTAGTGTAACTGAAGAAAAACGGGAAAAACGGGAACTCTTATCTTTATGTTAAGCTTTGTTTGATAAGAGACAAGTAAAATCCCTTAAATTAAAGTGAAAAATTTCATTGAAGGAGAAGTTTGTGCACCATGCACGGCGACACGTCTCATGCCGCTCGTTTTGAGATTTATCTCAATCTACGTACACAGTTTACACAGTTTACATTTCAATTATCAAGTTGGAATTATGCTTTCGGGTGTCGATAACTTAATCCGCGCAACTGACGGTACAATTAACATTCCTCACGTCTGTCTCCGACGTCGCCCCGTTATCATTGGATAGCAGGGGCGCCAATTACTTTGTGTACCTAACATCAACACTTTTCGATCCCTGTTGCGGAGTTCCGATCACGTCCGCTACTTCGACATCTAATCGTTGAACACTATACCCAGCTTCTGTTTAAATGAAAAAAACAAATTAAGGCCCGTTTATAAGTCGGCCCATTTATAATCCTGGCCTGATGAAAAGAATCACTTTCGCCAGTATGTAAACCAACAAAATGACTGTCAATTTGTTATTGAGCTAATGGAAACTAGTAGAGTAAGTAAGTAATGAAAGCGAGTACCGCTTTCCTTCTTAAAATACCACTCTCTCTGGTGGCTACCGGACACCTTTAATGCGAGCCTTTTCTGAATCTGAAAGACCAACAAAAACTTTATGACTCTACCTTTAACGCTTCTAATGCTTTTATTACGCGGTGATCAATTTTATGATATCACAGTTTAGAAGCGTAATTATTTATCACCTCGTCCATTAAAAAAGGACACCGACCTGTGCATTCAACACCGATCAAAAAAGAAACAGAGAAGTGTAACACTAGTCATTCTGTGAAAAGAAGGCCACAATGTAAAATATACCATGTAAGTATCTACTGATGGGACAAAACTAGCCAATTGTTATAATCTGTCATGACCCCGCTCACCTGCTGAGCGTCTCGCTGCCCGAAGTGTCCTATGTAGTTGGGGAACACCGTGAAGTTGTAAGAGATCCGGTGCTGTTGGCAGAATGTGACGATCACCGGCAGACAGACTCCCGGCGCTGGGTTCCGTGACCCTGGGGGCTCCGTCGGTGCCGGCCACGTCACCACGCTGGACCGGTTCACGACTTGTGAAACGTACTGTGGACAAGAGAGAGGATAGATAATTGTGTTATTGAAGAACATTTTAAATTAATAGAGGAAAGTTAGAATATTAAAGTCTCAAGTTCTAGTGTAGTAAGAAAGGTGGTGATCATTTACCATCAGGTAAGACTAGGGTGAGCCTGCTCGTTTGCCCCTTTTCTCCGTAAAAACAAAAACATCACAACGTACTGATTTAAATTTGATGCATTTTAAATTTACGTCGACGTACACTTAAGCTGTACCTAGATTTCGAGAATTGAAAGACCTGACTGTGAAATAGAGAACGTTTTTGAAAATACCAAGAAGCTTTTTGGCATGAAATATGAAAATGTGTTTTGATTGAGCCAGTATGACGGCGATTCACCAACATTATAACAGTCTGCCGGGATCCTTGAAGGTATTAAGAAAACCATTTCGGCACCTGACGTCCCTGCACCTCATAGCCATCCTAATTCTTTTTTACATCGATGGTCCATACTTTGAAATTATAGTTTTGTTACCAACGCGTTGAGGACGTAGATCTTGAGAAGAGGGAACAATTCAACTTAGCTGCATCAGTACATAGTTACTCTGTGTTGAGCAAAAGAACGCCATTCAAAACCTTGGGTTTAGATTTGTGAGGCTTTAGACGTAGGATAAGAAAAGAAGACCATGATTAGACCAGGGACGGACATATCGTCCATGAGAAAAAATTATTAAGAAAAGAAGATCATGATTAGAGAATCCAGGGACGGGATATCGTCCATAAGAGGAAACTATGTATTGGATGATAGGATTAACTCGAACCTATACGGTTATTTTATACGGAAAGTCACATATAAGATATTAGTAAAACTCTATACCACCTTTATATGATTAGATTAGATTATGTTGAAATCGTAAATCGCTCAAGTGGCTAGGAATACTTTGCGCGGTTTTTATGACAAATGTTGAATGAATAATTGCATTTTAGAAGGCAGATTTATTAGCAGAATAATATGAATGATAATCAGGTACAATGGATATAGTTAAAAATATATATATATATATATTATTTCAAATATAACCGATCACGTACATTTTGTATCTGGCTTTGGCGCTAACCAAAAAACTCTGATAATATACCGAATGAATTCTAAATAACTTCCAACAAATCCAGCAAATATTCAAATAACAAATAATGACCTAAACTTATTTCAATTGCAAAAGTTTTTTTCATCGCATGGCTCCCTTTAAAAATCTTTTTTATTAAATAAAAACTTCTCAAAAAATTGTTCAAGAATGTTTATTTGTAATGCTGTCGTGAACTTTTTATCAACCGTATCCCGGAGTGAGTCCCTGAAATCGGCATAATAATCGGCAAAAAGAGGGGCCACGTAGCGCCCTGAGGCAAACCTGAATTAACTTTTCCGTACAATGGGCGAACATTCCACATCTCGAGGCCTAGCTTATTCCGTCAGAAATGTTGGTAATTAAAATGAGAGTTTCTATACACGGAATGGAAACATGCTTGTATAAATAAGGTTACAAGGGTATTTTGTGAAAAATTTTACTAATTCACATTCCCGCAAGCTCTTTGAAATAGCTCCGAGGTATGTGAGATAATTTATTCGTGCCCTGACGAAGGTTTCTCTTCTTACGTTTATTAAAAAAAATGTGAAACATAAATAAGTTTATGTAAGTCATTCAAATGCGCACCAACAAATATACAGCGCGTAGTACGAATGGTGCTTCAGCACGAACAAACACATAAATGTTGTATACAAAAAGAAATGTTGCGTGAACAATTTGCCGTCACCGTGTGATGGAAACGTGGAAGAAAGTAGGTTAGAGTAGGTTGCACGGGGTGGGATAAACAGCTATTTTGTACTTGACCTACTTGTGACAAACGACGCGATTGGACTGCACGCTGCATGTGCCATGTCGCTGACAATGCATTTTCGCATGTAGGGAGATCAGGTGGCAATCGTCGGGAGGAATATAAACTCCGCGTGAATAAACAACGATCTAGAATAAACGCAGCTGCAGCCAGTCTCGACTAGCTAATGCTTTTTGATTATCAGTGTGCTTTTTGATTCTAGTTAGCATTAAGAAACATACATAAATAACGTATAATAACTTGTATAAATGAAATATTTTATCATTATATACGTTATATATTAATGAAAAAAACTATAATAATTTTTTTTTATAAGATATAAAATTAATAAGGTCAAAAATAAATCTGTTACATTAAATGCTTTTAGGTTTTTATTGCCCCAATTACTTTATTAGGGTACATAAATATAACAGATAAATTTGATCTTTATAAATATGCATATAATATATAGATACGATGAATCAACGTGTTTCTCAGGAAGCGGTTAATGCTTCTGAAAATTTGGTTATTTAGTTACAAATAAAAAACGGATCAAAGCGTCTTTAAATGTACATAACATATCTAACTTAAATAGATATATCACCATAGTGAATAACCCAAAGGCGCTTATAACTGGGATAATATTCGTTACACTGATAATGGGAAAATACCTAGTTGTAATGGGACCAAGCTTGGCAGCTGGCTTGCAAATTAATTGAATGTCGTAGCGGCTGCTATCAGCTGAGGGGATTAGGGAAGTGCCGACGCTTGGGCCGAGAACTGGCCTGGAAGGATAGCGGCCATAACTCCGATCTTTTTATCGCCCCCTCGGAAAGTGTGAGGGTAGTTGATACTCCAAAGGAAATTGCGGCGGCACAGGCGTATTTTTCCCGTAACGCAGTGTTCGCCTTAATAAAAAAAACCTGCCAAGCGCGAGTCGGACTCGTACACGACGGGTTTCGTATCATTATCTATAACAAACTAAATTACCTATAGAGATGTGCCTTGATTTTTTTGTATGGAAGCCCCCCGTAAAGATTTTTTTGTATTTGTTGTTATAGCGGCAACAGAAATACATCAACTGTGAAAATTTCAACTGTCTAACTATCACGGTTCACGAGATACAGCCTGGTGGCAGACGGACAGACAGACAGTCAGCGGAGTCTTAGTAAGAGGGTGCCGTTTTATCCTTTGGGTAGGGAACCCTAAAAATGTTAAATTTAAAAAAAATGTTTCAATGTTTAAATTTTCAATCGGAAAAGAGTAAATGACAATATAGAAAACATTTTCTATCTCGTTTAAACATTACGTAGGCGGTAATTGAGGTGACAAAAATATTATTACATTTTCTGTGTTATCTATAAATGTCGTAGGCATTTAAATACTTGTTGAATTCAGCTAAACAACATAAATTGTTTTGCAACTAGAAAATACTTCCATTGCGATTATAACATTTGTTAATTTCATGCCTCTGTATATCTTTTTTAAGCAATACATTTTCAAGCGAGCTGGCGCTTCTGACGTTTTTTTTTTATGTGAAAAGTTGCCAAACGAGCAGACGGTTCACCTGATGTTAAGTGAATACCGCCGCCCATGGACATCTGCTACACCCGAGGGTTACAGATGCGTTGACAACGTTTTCGGAAAGTGGGCTCCGGCTACCTCACTCACCAGACGAAACGCGAAAGTATTTGTCATACTTCCGCTTTACGCTGGTCTTCTGTGAGGTCGTGGTACTTACTCGAACGGGCCTGTGACGGGCCCTACTACCATGAAGTGAATAATACCGCCCATGGACACCTACAAAATACGATGGCTTGCTGATGCGTTGGCACCCTTCCAAAAAGTGGGCCCAGGTTATCTCACTCAGCAGACGAAACGGAAAAGTTTAATACTTCCACTTCACGCCGGTCTTCTGTGAGACTGGCAATTCACCGAAAGAGCCTGCCCATTCGTGCCACAGCAGAAGCTGTTGCGAGGACCTGCAACATCACTGGATATTTTATCATTTAATGCTTCTAAAAGTACTTTACATTTCTCTAAAGTATATGTCGACGACCCGAATGGCGTAGTGGGTAGTGTACCTGCCTCCTGCGCCAGAGGGTGTGGGTTCGATCCCCACTACTGGAAAATATTGTGTGATGAACACGGTGTTTTTCTAGTGTCTGGGTGTTTCTATATGTATAATATGTATTTATTTACAAAAGAAAAGTATGTTTAAGTATGTTTATCAGTTTTCTAGTACCCATAGTACTAGACTGTGGGACTAGAAAATGTTGTGTGCAAATGTGTCCTAAATATTTATTTATTTATTTATGCTAACCGCTCTCGCTATTTCTTAACCTATAAGTATTTACGATACTTCTTATTATACTTTCCAGTACCCCAATGTACCAGGAGATTACTCGACATTTCGCTGCATTTAGTTGTTGAATATTTTTGTTAAGGCCTTTCAGAACGAATTCCACGTACAAAAGTCCAGAGTCGACACAATGAGGCACAATAGGTCTTACAATAATGTATAAGTGACTCAGCCCCGACAAGGTTCTGTAATTAATTCACAAACGGTCTTGGAAAGTTTTTCTGCGTCTTTCTTTAATACAACAATCACTTTTCAAGTTGTTGAAAGGCTAACAAGCAAATGAATCGCCGACTTAACAACTTTAATTCTGCATTATCATTTCTTTACGCATACTACAATAATAGATACAAATATCAAAGATCTGTGAGTAATTCTTCTTCTCCAGTTTTAAACCATTGCTGAGTAGCCATTGCATTGATTTACTCTCAAAAGTTGGGTCTGTTACCTCGGAAGATAAAAATACTTAATTTTTTTGTTTAGTCTGTATAACATCATATTTGTGTATTAATTTTCTTAATACAACTTCTAAAACTCTCCAAACGTTCTAAATTGCATACAAAACGAATACACCTCTTATGTAATAGAAACACTTTTTGGCTGTCGACAGAGTTACCCTATAGCGATAGCTCTAAGGATAGCTAAGGATTGAACAAACAAGCACGCTAAGCACAAAAAGCAGCTGTTTATGACACTGTATTTAGGGTTCCGTACTCAAAGGCTTAGACGGGACCCTGTTACTAAGACTCCGCTGTCTGTCTGTCAGTCCGTCTGTCACCGGGCTGTACCTCATGGACCGTGATAACACTTTTCGCAGATGATGTATTTCTGTTGCCGCTTTAACAACAAATACTAAAAAACAGTATAAAAATATCTAAGTGACCCATAGAACAGACTGATCCGACTCGCACTTGGCCCCTTATTTTTTATGAAACATAGCCTATCTAATTGCTTATTCGTCTTGAATCCTATCATTCGTCTTTTGGTTCGTTTTACTAGAGGGTGCCTCTAAAGTAACACCACGATGGTCAATTTTAGGCGAACTTGACCAGCCCATTATTTCAGACGACGTACGCAAGAAAATATTTATGTTGTACACTTAAAGATTACTGTGAGTGAGTGATTTTTATTTTTTCAACATCAACAATGGAGCGCTTGTTACAAGAGAGTGGTCGGCAAACAATCATGCCCGCCTCAGAACTTGGAGCGAAGCAATCGCTAGAGAACTCGCACTGTTTCGAAGCGGCACGCCATCATAATTGTTTGCGAATGCGATGCTTTTTGCTTGCGTAGTGTTTTTGAATGAGTGTAATCTTTTAATTATAAACAAACTGACCGATATATTGGGGTATTGTAACGAAGGAACGTGAGTACTAAAGTAACTGAACGAGACAAAAGCGATACGCCTGATTAAAGGGCAGCAGAAATTTCCAGTTTAAGCTTATCGCAGGTGAGTCGATAAGTGATAATTCGTATGCTCTCATATCCTGTGTACAGGCGTGAGAGTTTACGTACATTTCCGAGTATACATATGACAAGGTCCTTTAGCCCCGCGCTTTAGTGCGCATAAAACGCAGGTTTCCTGAAGAGCTTGATCGTAAACGGCGGTCAATCTTCGTACCGTTAACTTTAACGTTTAATGTGAAATTGAAAAGGATGGTAGTCTTAGAACACTACACTCTAATGCTAAGGTGCTTAATTGAAATATGGTCATAACACAGACTAACGTGTAAAAATTCTAATATTAGAATAGTAAAAGTTAGCAAAATTCGCTAAAAGCGTATAAGAAAACAATTTAATGGTGAAGATAAAGATGATTTACTTAATTAACAGTGAAAATAGAAAGGCAAAAAAGGCAGTGATGTGATACGGAAACATGTTTGCTACTCAAGTCATAAGCCTTCATGTTAACATGTTTACAGTACGCAACATAAAGAAGAAAACCCTTTGATAATTTTCGTGTGCACGGGTATACCAGATTAAGTACAAGCGACGCAGCTGTTGTGTCTCCGTTTAATCCCTTAATTAAGCCCGTCCTGCTACGCACCTGTACGGCAGGGTTGGCTTGGAAGTAGGCGAACAGTGCGCCCGTAATGGCGAGCAGCGCCACAGCGTTCAGCGCTAGCTGCATTAGTCGAAACTTGTGTGGCGAGCCCTCACTGCTGTTGCCCCGCATATCTCTCAGCATCTGTTCATGAACCTTAACTTAATGTTCATTCGATATTTTATCCTAGAAAGTAATTCATTGAGACATAGATATTATAATACGTATTTCGGAAAGTTTAGGAACGAAATTCTACTGAAGTTTAGAAGCGAAATTCGTTTTGCTATAGATTCGTTGCAAAAAAATGTCGACCCGAATGGCATACCTGCCTCCTGCACTAGAGAGTGTGGGTTCGATCCCCACTACTGGAAAAATATTGTATGATGAACATAGTGTTTTTCTAATGATTGGGTGTTTATTATGTACAATATGTATTTATTTACAAATAAAAAGTATGTTTAAATATGTTTATCAGTTATCTAGTACCCATAGTACAAGCGTTGCTTAGTTTGGGACTAGAGAACGTTGTGTAAAAATGTGTCCTAAAAATATTTATTTATTTATTATTTATTAAATAAATACCACACAAAATCCATAGAGAACAACTGGCTGAACAATAAGGTAACATGAAAGCTACAAATAACTGAATACAGTTGAAATGGCTGTGAAATCTCATCAACCAACATATTGAAATGAAATTTCAAATCGACGACGTACAATGGTATTCACTCACATGCAGCAATTTCAAATCGCCGACAGAATTCTAACATGCCGGAGCTCGTAGTTTAGATGTAGCTGAATTCTGAGCAACAAAGGAGCTCGTCTGCCGCATGGCACTTTCAAAGCCTCCGCCAGATGTGGCGGATTGTCTCCTGAATAAGTCATGACGGCGTCATGTCTTTGAGGCTAAATATCGCCTTCTTAAACGATGATACTTTAGTTTTTAAATCATAGAATATTAAAAGAACAAAGTATAGCTCTCAGGCTTCGATTCAGTGTTTTACAGTTAACAACCGCATTAACTTTAATACTTTGTGAACGTGATCGATAATGAACACATAATTGAAAAGCCTTACTACGAATAATACTTTAGAAAGTTATGAAAGAATAGTTAAATAAGGAGATCTAACTCTGAAATATATATTTGTAATTGCAAAACAATTTTATATCAGGTTCAAACCGCTCGGTTAATGCACTGGGTACTATGCTACTGACCTCACTACTCTCCACTTAATTGCACAACTTCTTGTGAACATTGCACGGGGCGTCGACCGTCGCAATCTCGTCTTCAACAAACAGTAATATGCGTTCGACATACACGTGCCTTCCTTAATACCGACGCTCTCCATAATACGTGATCCTAGCGAAGCTCGTAGCCTGACGATAAAATAACTCTTGCGCGAAGCATTCCACCCACAGCGTTACAAGAACACTTACGAGGTTTTTATGCCATGTTCCTAATTACGTGTTAGGCTATTTAGCTCTTACGTCAATGTATAAAATAAATCCGAAACACAAAACAAAGTTGTCTGTATTGAGTAATGCATAGGGATATCAAATTGTAGACAAACGGACGGACAGTCGTGTTCGTTGTTGCATTTTATTATAATCAAAATAGTCAATAAGTTCTTGCATTTAGAGACAAGAAGGCTGTCATATATTTTGACATGCACCACAATTCAAGCACTCACGCTCTTTTACGTTAACAAGGTAGACAGAGTTTACTAAAATTAACAATGTTTTAAGAATTATCTAATGCAAGATTGATGTGACTATTTTGCCGCGATACTAACGAGAGTGTTACTACTATTTAATAAACTGTTCTATTGTATTAAGTCTGTATGAGTCTTGTATAATCATACATTAGCGTCTTGCCACGTCATAATATCATAGCCCTACGTTGATAACAGATTGGGATTCAACCTCCCAAGAGTGTCATCCGCTGGCTTTAAGATGAATTCTAAAAAAGATGTCCCGAAGGTTACATACATACGTTCCTGGGTAAATCTTAGTGTAAGCTCATACGCTGCGTCTTACAAGAGCTGAGCTCTACTCAAACAGGCATATTACTGTTTCTAGGGACGAGATTCAGGTCAGCTGCGTCATAAATTGTGTTTCTGGAGACGAAGCGAGTAATGTTCCGTACATACTTCAATATAATCCTTCTGTACAATATACATGGCCTTAAAGCAGGATACAACGTATGTCATTAAACTTTTATTATGTAAAATGGGACAAAAATTGTAGCTTGGGACTTTGTTAGTGTTGTAGCTTTGTTCCTTGGGCCTCACAAAGAAAGAGAGATGAAAGACGTAACAAATTTGAATTAGATTCCAACCAGATTTATCATTAAATTTTAATTGTTTTGTTTTTTTTTATTCTTTGTTTAATACTGATGAGAAAATTATGCCCCTTGAGGATTCAATAGCATTGACTACAAGTTGCAATGGAGAGATCATATAGATAAATTAGCTAAAAAGTTGAGTTGATTGATACAATGAGCATTATTTATTTGGTGTTTTTATTCCTAAGTGAATCAAGAAATTACTAAATAATAATCCAAAACTGACTAGTGGTGTGCATTAGTACTAATTACCGTTTTAATAAGTGGATAATTTACTACAAAAATAAAGATAAAGCGAGCGAGTACATTTATCGTTAGCCTAACGGACGTAACAGAAATAAACTCTCGAAATAATTACGGTCCAGAAATAAAATAAGGTCAGTTCATAAGACTGGCGCTTCGTCCGTTTAAATATTTGCCCGTTTAAGCGTAATCTCAACGGAGAAATGATCTGATAAATCCACATTTTCAATTTAATTCTGTTTGGAATCGAGATTCGCGAACGAATGAAGTGCAATTTACGGGAAACGCTTTCGAGTGTGAAATAAAATGTTTCGAGCCGCAAGTGAAACGCTCTAGCGGTGGTTCACATCACTACTACATAGGATACTGCTCTTAAAAACTACTACCTTCATGAATAGCATATTCCAATGATAAGAATTCACTGATTGCAGTTCACAGCAGGGTGCTATCAATTCACAGTAAATCCTACTGTGAATAGATAACACCCTGCTGGGATAAAATATGAACAATTAATTGTCCAATAGCCTTCTTTGCAACAGTTTTAATATGACATTCTCTAATTTGCGTACTAGACAAGGAACTAGACCCCCTGGACGCCCAAGGAAGCGATGGCTGGACGTCGTGGAAAAGGACATGAGAGCCAATGGACTGACCCCCGCAGATGTCGAAGACCGAGCAAAGTGGAGGAGTTTAAGTAGGAAGGCAGACCCCGGCAATAGCTTAATTATTGCCAGGTAGAAGAAGAAGAAGAAGAATTCTCTAATTTGCGTAGAGTAGGCCAGAATAATTAGTCAAATGAAATAATTAACTACTACATTAAGGCACAAAGTTAACGAAAAGTCTTTCGCCGTTGCGGGAGTCAAAGCCACGTCTTCCAGATTCGCGTCCAAAGACTTTAGCCACTAAGCTAAATGGCTGATTGGCAAACCGACGAACAATTCGCAAAATCGCATTTGAATTAATGCTTGGCGCATCTTATTGTTACCTCTATTTCATATGCTTAAACATTGCTGTTAAGCATAGTAGTAGCAGGTTAATTATTTAAAAAAATAATGTAAACGGGAATAATTATCTTATTGTTTTAAATCAACATACATTTTATATCTTAGCTATCATTTAATTTTATAATGTTTATATAATTTTATCATTTAGTAATTTAAAATAACTGACTGGGAGATAATACTTTTAGCATTAAGTCCGCCATTATACTATTTGTGCATAAAGGGTAAATAAATAAATAAATATGATTATTTTGCGCCGTCATTCCACGGGTGTTTTGCCACAGCTAAATATCGCACCACATTGAAATTAGTGGCCCATCGCGGCTAGGCGTTGCGTGCGACTGCAAAATTTTACGCGACGGCTTAAAAGCATTGCGCTCAAATGAAACGTTTAAATGAACACTATTCCAAACGGTTTCCAGCGAAACCTGGAAAGCTACGAGAGAAACGTGCATTAACTTAATTCATGTACAGACAAAAAACGACCGCGAATTAAATGACCAACAGTAACAAACTGGAAAAAAAAAGAAGAGGGTGGTAAAAATTAAATTTTGCTATTTATGGTAGTCATATTTCATTAAATTTTAAGCCGCACGCCCTAAAACTTATACCTTGAAATTATGCTGGTTATTTTTGCATTTAATGTAGTTGGATAAACTTTGTTCGATCGATTTTCATTCTTAATGAAAAACACTAATAATCATCATAAATAGGCAACCTATTTTACAATGAGGGAGATTTATACAAAAAAAAAAAAACATAAAAAAAGTTAGTAATTTTTGCTTTATGATTCTTTTAATAACATAAATCTTCAATCTTCTATTCGTTTATACTATTGGGATGAAAACATCACCAGTGATAGATAATGGATAACTGGCGATAGTTTCCCCTATACCCATCTATTTTAATGGCTCTTCGATGATTTTAATGGCTAGAAATAAAGAGGCACTCTTGCTAAACAACGTAACTTTACTGTGATAGGGCTACGCAAATGCTTATGCCTGTTACGGGCTCACAGAAGAAAAGTGTGAAGTATAAGTATTATAGTTTAATGTTTAATTTGTTTAACTTTTGTTAAAAACATTGCCCTTACTGTACGATAACATTATTCTGTGATGTAAGAGCGTTTTACAAACATAAATTGCACGTGGACAAACACCCAGATGCGAAACAATTATCTGTGGGTCACACAAATACTTGTCCCGTGTGGGAATCGAACCCACGATCCCCGGCGCCCAAGCCAATACCTTGACAACGGCGCCACGGAGTCATCAAAGTGAGGTAAACGAGGCTCGCTTTTTCTAAAGGGTTAATAACGTTAACGTATCTGCAATCTTCAAGTGTTGTGTCTCCATGGTTGGTGGTTATAACTTGACATAAAAATCCAAAGATTATGATATTATTACTATTGGACTTTTTGTTCATATTCACTTCTGCAAGTTTCTTGTTATCGCATGGACTAGAACAACATTTTGTTGTAAGTTTTCTAGTGCTATACTATGTGCCAGGTTCGTTTACTGGAAACTTCAGGTTTAAAATGTTACGGAATGCACGGTAGATTTTCGGCAGACGGCCGCGGTTTCACGGAACTATTTGCAGTTGCATATGCGGGCGGGGACAGACGTCTCTTGGATAGCTGAAACGTGCAAAGTTCCGAGAGGATCGCCGGACGCATTAAAAGTTCCGTGAGATGCCGAGTGCTTTTATTTACAATCTCGGATGTTCCGCTTCCTTGGTTCTGATATCTGGCGTATTTCGTGGCGGTGTTTCATAAGGTAACAAACAATAAGATTCATCAATCAGATCATTCTTTAGAAAAAAAAAAGTTGGATCGGCAGACTCGTACAGCCTTGAATAATCCAAGCCCTTGGTAAGAAATATATCGAAATATAATTTTACTAGCTAGTCTTTTATTTTACACCAGAATATCTCGCAAATGGCTGAATTTTTTTCACTTAGTTGACATTATCATGACCTATATTTTGGACAATTCTCACAATATCTATTTGTTATTCTGATGTATAAGCTATATTATTGTAAAATTTCATTAAAATCTATTCGGTAGTTTTTGCGTGAAAGAATAACAAATATCCATCCATATATACAAACTTTCGCGTTTCTAATATTAGTAAGGATAAGGATATCGAGCGTCTGCACGGTTATTATTTCGTTTCTTACTTAGGGACGCGCTGTTATACTCTGTTCTACTCTATGTTTCAATTCAAGACTTACGCAGAAGTCATGTAATCATAATTATTTATTTCACAACTAACCAGTACTTGAATGATAAAGTAAGTATTTATGTTGCATGTGGTAACGTATTAGTTTAAAAAATAACTATTAAAACAAAACTTTATTAAAAATAACCTACAAATACAGTTGAAATGGGACGGGAATATAAATAAAGTAACAAACAGCTCACCCGGTGATGAAGGGACATATTGCTCCCGTTCTGGAACCTGACGATCGTCTGCAGGGAGGCCGGAGTCGACATGCTCTTGGTGATTGAGGAGTTGCCGGACTCCTTCTCCTGTTGTTCCTTCAGAAGGAGCCCACGGGCAATCTTCGCATTCAAACTCTTGTTTACGTTCTGGTGTGGTAGAAGTGGCGCCTCCATGGTCTTGGTCGTATAGGACGGTGACGAGGTCTGGCTGAAGGAGTCGGAGCTGACGTTCGAGTCCTGCCGTACGCTGATATTGGACCCTGAGCTCGGGGATCTCTTCATCTGGTTCTGTGGCGCGGTGAACGTGTCGGGGATCTTTTGCGGGGGCCGTCTAGGCGCCGGTGGTTGGGGATTCTTGTTGCAGTCGAGCCGCTGTTGGGTCGGTATCGGCGGGAGGCGGCGGTTACCGTTCGGGTCTGTCGCTTGCGCCGTTTGCGTCGGCTGCGCCGTTTGCGCCGGTTGGGTCGGTTGCGTCGGTTGCGCCTGTTGCGCGGGTTGCGCCGGTTGCGTCGGCCTGGGGGGCGTCGGTGGGGGAGCGCGTCGCGGTGGCTGCGGGGAAGGGCGCCGCGGCGGGGGCGGTGGTACGGCCAGCGGCGGAGGTGCCGTCACAGGCGCCACGCGTTGCGGCACAGGTGGTGGCTGTGGCTGCGCGACAGGCTGCACCGGTGGCGCTTGCAACTGCGATAGGTAAATGAGCTATCGTAAGCAATGGGCAAAAATTCACCTCTACGCAACAATGTCCTACACGAATCTCAAAATATAATATCAATTTTTTTATGTCAGTAGTTGCCAAGCGAGCTGGCGGTCCACCTTATGTTAAGTGAATACCGCCGCCTATGGACGTCTGCTACACCCGAGGGTTGCAGGTGCGTTGACAACCTCTTGAAAGTTGGGCTCCGGCTACCTCACTCACCAGACGAAACGCGAAAGTATTATACTTCCACTTGACGCCGGTCTTCTGCGAGATCGTGGTACTTACCCGGACGAGCCTGCCCATTCGTGCAACAGCCGAGGCTGCTGCGTGACCCTACCACCGTAAAAATGAAAGCTGAAATAAATATTTTTGGAATACGACTTTAAGAACTTAAAGTCGCTTGTAATAATAGAAAACCACTAACAGAATAACGGACCCTATTCATCCATTGTAAGAAATAGTTTACATTAACCAACAATAGCTGCTCGCTCTACGGGAGGTAATTAATTATATAGTTTCTCATCGGTTTCTTGGACTCCGGAGGAGTTAATATTTCATTTGCATAATATGCTAGTGCAGTAAAACTTCAAGATGCCGCAGTTTCAAAGTATATACAGTTTCAAAGTATACGCAGATACAAAGTAAAGTTATATCGAAATGGTTTGGTATATATGCAAAATTCTACTTTGATTGTTCAATTAATTACATTTGAATACATTTCGAAATCCCCTTATATTGTTTCTTAGAATTCGATCGCTTTTATTACTTTTTTCCTTGCCTTAATTCTCCAATAACTTGTTGATGTTCGAACAATGTAATAAAGAATATGAAAAACGTTCAACGCCTTATTTACATTCAGTTAAGGAGACTCTTCGATCGCTCCTTGTATAACACTTTGGATCTCCCGTATTTCCACATATTTTTATGTTATTTTTTTTTTAATTATCAACAATAATTACTATTACGTCGCGGTTCTCACCCGGACGGACCTATCCCTTCGTGCAACAGAGAAGACTGTTGCGTGGCCGTACCACAGTTGTGCAACACAACTACTGTTGTTCTATGTTAGCACTGTTGTTCCATGTCCTTACTTTTATATGGGGTCTGGGCGGTGCTATCCTCGACGGAGGGCAGTACGGCAGCGCGTCAGACGGGCAGTACACGAAGCCAGTGGGCCTCTGTTGGTGTGCCGAGGCGCAGGCGGCTGTCGAGTGCCGCCTCGGGGTGCCGACGCTGGGCCGCAACAACTCCATAAGCTTCTCGCCCGGGGTTGCCGCCAGGCTGCCAGCCCGGCCGCACCTGTCAACAATGGAATTTAAAAATGCTAAACATTTACGGGCACATTTTCACACAACGCTATGTAGGCCCAAACCAAGCAACGCTCCTACTATGGCACTGGATAACTGATATACACAGTTAAACATACTTTTCTTTTGGAAATAAGTACACATTTTTGACGTATAAACACCAAGACACTAGAAAAACACTAACTTGATCGCACAATATTTTCCCAGTAGTGGGGATCGATCCCACACGCTCTGGCGCATGACACAGGTACACTATCCACGCCAATCGGGTCGTAATTTTTTTTTTTTCATCTTATCGTGATGTTAAATTAATTATCCCTTTACGATTTCAATGGAATATCACAATTATTAATATTCCTTTATGATATGATGGCAAATCAAGTGTCACAACTATACCCTTATGATAGATGAATCTCTTGTCTGTCATATTCACCGACCTTGATCGAATTTCGTAGCAGCGAACGCGACACAAAAGCACTGCTGCCTTCGTTCGCATTAATTCCGTGCTAGACACGTTCATGCGAGCAAAAGCAGGAGTGAAGATATAAAACAAGAAACAATTAAAGATGAATCACTAATAACATTCTGTTGACATTGTAAGTTTAAAATTGTACCTCTCGTAACAAATGAATTGATATTAAATAGATAAAGAGATTAACATTATTTTCAGTAACTAGCAACCGAGGATTTGGTTCATGAGATAGGTGAGAAGGTCGCAAACGAGCTGACGAATTGCTTGATCTTAACTTTTTGATAACCGCCGTCCCATTGACATTTGCAACATCCGTAGGGTTGCACATGCGTTGCCACCTTTTAATAAAGTTGGCCCCAGCTACCACACTCACCAGATGAAATGCAGATTTATCAATGCTCCGGTGCTTTCGTTGAAAATCAATTTTTAAACACTCCACGCTTAAGACTGTGATGTCATGGAGAAATTAGCACGTATGAGAACTTCTTTTTTAGCTCGCCAACGAGCAATAGGACTCTCCGTGTGTCGAAAAAGTCCGTTAATTGTGCGCACACCGTACGCGAATGTTCATTTTCAATTTAGAGTTTCATCTTGAGTGCCGAGACTGACACTAAAAATAAAAATAAATCTTAAATTTTTTTATGAGCAACGGTGGCATCTCTCGTGAAAAATATTCATCGTTGAACGTTATTCGTGAGGTGTTGTATGCTGGACGCGCCAAGCATTGCTAAAAATGCAAAAGAATGAATGTAGATACAAGTCAAGATTTTCGTGAAGGCCGATTGGCTTAGTTCGTAAAGCGTCTGGGCGTGAAACAAGAAGACGCAGTTTTGAATCGCGCAGCGCCTAGTTTTTGATCATTTATCTACAAAAATTAAAAATTAAATGTTCATCCCACGCTTACAATACAAAGGCGGTGACCATTTCCCGTTTCCGGAATGTGCTTTACGCCCGATGGAACGCCCGATTAAGCGGTGTCCGTCAGTACATGCCCATTCATTACTCTGACAGGTAATCACTGTGCGGGCCGTTGTTCAAAGAGGGTTAATAGTGTGGAGCACTAACGTTGACAACACGTACACGCCTCCCGAATTAAGGGTCGACGTCCATGTGATGCAATTAAGGCTCGAAACCAGCACTTGAAAATGAATTGTAACCGAGATTCTCTAACTTAGATGACTCGATGACGCCGTTGCTAAGCCGTACTCTTAAGCTTGCCCCACAGATGAATGTTCCAGATCACGGTGTTAGTTTCCCAAAGAGAGTTGAAGACAAGCAAGTGGCTAATCATAAAATACATAGCCAAAACACTTACAACATGATTTACATGATTTAACTTTAGTTAGATCTATCTTTACTTAGATCATTTTATAGGAGCCTTCATCATTTTTTACTTTGATTTTGTGGTAAACAAACGTTATTAATCGGTCCAAAAAATCCATATTTTTTGGATCAATTAATAACGTTTGTTATTATTTCCCTCATTTGTGATAAATTTGAATCGTTGCTCAGCCCAAATTTTGTTTAATTTTATTATTTTTAACTGTCTTTTGTGATTACGAAAGCTCGTGGAAACATCGCAATTCCGACATGGTATTTGAGTAAACAATGTTTTGCCTCCTTGCTGTAATGATTATTTAAACATTATTTCTATACATATGATCATGTGTAAATTTAATATATTTCATATACATATATAACAAATAGTTAACAATGTCAAAGCCACTATGTTAAAGACCTAAGTAAACACCTTTTGTATTTCGAATATATTTATTATTTATATTTATATTAGCGCTTAATTAGAATGTACCACACATTTTGTATGAAATCTTATGTATTTCTTGTAACTACCTTATATTTCAGCACTTTTTTTTATATTTAGTCCACTAGCTTCGCCAGTTCGGATTTTTTTGTTGTACATACTATAGTATTTGTATTTTCTCTGTAAGTGATTTGGTGTAAATCTTATGAGAAAATAAATGTCTTAAACCTTAAACATAATAAACGTACTGAAAACATACATGGCTAGTTAGCGGTGACCAACGGCCCGGAGACCTCGACGAATCGTAGTTCGAACCAACTATCGAACCTGTACCTATTGGGTTTATTCGACACCAACTATTAGTCTATTTTGCATATTTTAGTAGACGAGCCCGTGGGAGATCGACCTTCCCCCATGTGATAACCAGATGGGACATATTTTATCTGGAATGCTATTGACTTATAAACTCGTCAATGACGTCTTGCAGATTGAGAAGCGTCCATGGCTATTTTAATTAAATTATTTTTTTATCCTAACCTTCAAACTTTTGGCAACCGAAAAAATTTAGTTTTAATCGATAGTATTTTAATGTAGGGAATATGCCTTGATATGTTTTTACGCAGTTGAGAGCGCAGGCATTTATTCTACTCCTTCTCAACGTTTTGGAACTTAGACCGGGCGAAAATTACAGCGGGCAAGATACGTGACAGACTCTGAAAACTGTTTAGAATCGCTAGTTGAAAGAGCTGTGAAAAATCGTTAGAAAAGTTTCCGTCCCGTGCTATCCGATAGCAGTACGTCACGTCGCGCGCCACTCGAAACGACCTCCGAAACGAAGCGTCGAGAACGCTCCAAGTGGGCACTGTGACGATCATTAGGTGCTCCGTGCTCACTTCGTTATAGAATATTCGAACACGTCCAGGTCTCTGTTGAATTATTCGCGGTTGTTACCAAATGTGAATTGCAGTTAGATATTCCTGAATTGGAAAAAAATTCAGAAACAGGAGGTTTATGCCCGTTTTCACCATCGACCCCGAACTTTGATGGACACGTTAACAAATTTAAGCGCTATTTTCGTATGAAGCGTATCCGCGAATTTGAGGATCAGCGCAAGGCTGACCTCGATGCTAAGCGCGATGACCTAACGACCCGTCCAGCCGCCGCCATTACCTATAAATATGTAGGCGGCGTACTCACGTGCCCTCACTGTGTAAGTTTCTAGAAAAAAGGAGTAAACGCGCCGGAGGATCACCTGATAGTAAGTGTTCACTGCCGCCCATGAAAATCTGCAACACCGAAAGGCTTTCAAATGCGTTGCCGGCTTCTGCAAGCCCTTTTTCTTATTTGTTTGTGGCAAATAAAGAAACAAAGCAACTATGATAACTGTATATATTTTATTTATAATTTTTATTATACAATGGCTAGTTTTAGGGAAAATGTAAAAAAAGTCTTATCAGAAACTTTCAAAAATCGTTAGCGTATCACGTTGATGAGAAGCCGAAATGCATCAAGATCAATATGGTTGATTTTAAATGATCATCATCATCACTTCAGCCTGTTAGTGTCATCACTGCTGAAGATAGGCCTCCATCTCAGAGTTGATTAAATAAACAGATTTATCATAAACAGCTAGTGGCCGCCGATAGATGGCTCAATGATTAAAAAGCTAGTTCAGTATACATCACGCAAAATCGTTCCAATTAAAAATAGAAAGTGAGTTAAGCTTCAGCGTGGATTATTTTCGAAGACTTACAAAAGCTTATATGCTTGAGAGAAAATGGAGTGCTTTGTTTTGAGCAAATCTCGTCTTCCAATAATTGTTCGACCTCGATTTATAAGACTACTAATACTAAATACACGTGATACTTTTTGCGACATTATTTTTTGTTCGATACTATTTTTCTGCGAAACTGAGAAGACAACTAGTAGGTCTGATGGCAAAGAAAGGAATTCCAATGGCGTTCCTTATACGCGTGCATAGTTCATGGCGACTGTTTCTGATGACTTAATATTTTTCATGAAATTCAAATTCAAAATATCTTTATTCAAAGAAACGCTTGTGCGTTATTATTAAACGACGAATTTTACATGTATAACGAATACATAAATTCGTAAGTAAGTTAACCTCAGAAGGTATCATTCCTATTTATCCCGTCTATGGTAAAATATGTGAAAGCGGAAAATAAACACTCTTAGAAAGAGTCTTTATTCGATCCATTATAAGAGTATATCGATTCGTTACATACTAATCCTAGTATGTAACGAATCGATAATAATTTCAACGTCCTACTGCGTTCGTAATTAGCGTACAGTCTAAATTAAAGCAATTTTTCTATAATAATAATATCATTTATTCGCTTAAACATGGTACATCAGAGGTGATACATAGTTACATATTGTACATAGTCCACATGTTTACCACATCTGGCATGTGAAAATTATTTTTTAAATAAAAATAATTCATTATGTACATAGATTAAATTAGACCAAATAAATATGAATTAAAAAAAAAAAAAATAATAATTTCAAGCAAACAAGTTAATTATGTATTATTAAATTAAATTAAATTAAATTAAAATTACAATCATCATGTCAATCATTATAAATATTAAAAATTAAAATGTCAAAAGAGTATATTAATAAATTATTACACAAAAATAAAGTCTAAAATAATATAGTAAAGTCAAATTTAGGCAACAAGATTTTATTCATTGAAAAATTGTTTTACATCAGAAACACATTTTAATAATAGCCAGCTTTTGAGTTTGGTTTTAAATTTACCAGTTTACCAGTTTTTTTTAATGAAACACATCATCAGTGTCATTGAATGTAATGGCAGTACAAAGTCATTCCACACATCAGCCACCGACAATTAGCGTCGGCCTAATGTCAAACTGATGAAGCCTGACCCTTTGAAGACGCCATTAGCTGTAGGGCTGTCGCATTTCACTTTTGAACAATTTTAATATTCGGCATACACGTAAGTGGTTGAACAGTTCTAGATTAAATAAATACGTCTTATTTATAAGTGAATTGAATTTTTCTGATTATTTCTTATATTAAGTTACGGTATTAATTATGGCAAAATTTCCAATTTTTTAAAATACTTGTAACGTACATGTTTACAAGTGTAAGATTGAAGATGTGTAAAATGAAGAAGCAAGTAAATTTATTAATATTTTTTTAAGAATGGTCTGAAGGTCATTTTTGAATGCCAATTTAGTGATATGTGGCAACGCACCTGCAATTCCAGGGGTGTTGCAAAATCCATGGGCAGCCATTATCACTTAACATCAGGTGAACTGATAGCTCGTATGCCAGCTTCTCATATAAAAACCTCTCAAACAACATTATTGCATTTATTATACTAATGTGCAATATATGGTTTTAGAGAATAGTAATGATTTATAAATAGCGCACAGGCACTTTATAATTAATCATGTTTTTGTTAAAGCAATGAAAACGAATAAGTAGCAACCCTACTGAATCCATTAGACTCCACGAGGCCCCACCGCCCATTATCGACAATGCGTCAGGTGACAAAGCCTGAATACACATCGTTCGATTTGATTAAAACACGTTTTGGTTCCGTGTTGAATATAAAATATCCAAAGTGCAAACAGGATATGTTCATTGACTCTACTCTGTTTTAACTGTGATAGGACCACGCAACAGTGTTCACTGTTGCAGGAATGGCCAGGTCCATCCGGGTTAGTACCATGACCTCACAGAAGACTGGCGTGAAGTAGAAGTGTTACACTTCGCGTTTCGTCTGGTGAATGAGGTAGCCGGGTAAGTGGGCCCACTTAATTCAAAGGTGGCAACGCATCTGCAACCCTACGGTCGTTGCAAATGTACATGGACGTCGGGTATCACTTTACATCAAGTTACCCGCCAGTTTGTTTGCCGCTTTCTAAAAAAAAACGTGCTAAAATCCTTAAATAATCGAGATCAAAATAAAATTATAAAGACAGCACATATCATTATACGCGAATGTACTTTGGTAATATGAATGTATGTACGTGTAGACTTCTTTTTGTCCGTAGCTCGGTGAGCTCGGCTGAAATTAAGCGAGATGGCTGATCCTGTCGTTTTGAAGGATTACCCCGTGGCAAAATATTTTGCGCTCACATGAGCAAACTTTCCCGTAACAGCTATTAATTTCGTACAGTTAGTTTGTTCAGAGATCGTATTTTTTTTAAATTTTATCAAACTCTACGACTTTTCGTGGTGGATAAATACTGGTTGACATCAGATCTATTATTAACCGATCTAAAGGAACTTTTAGGCTGTACCATAGATATTTGTTTCGGCACGAGGCGTTGACTGACATTTATGAAGGTTTTCAGTAATAGGCTCAACATCATCATAATTTCAGCCTGTTTGAGTCCACCTCTTAAAGTGTCTCAAGGAACTTTAAGACCACCACGAGGCTCGATCCTGAGCTCCCTGCATCTATCGACTTCCCGCACACAAGGCTTCACTCCATCTAGTCTCGCCTTCACTACGATGGCCAATACGAGGCTGCCACTGGAGAAGCTTGACAGGCTCATTCGTCTTAAATGTGGACACCCTATCTTTTCTACCACGTTTAGGTCGTTGGATTGGTTTACGTTGAAAGAGATTAACAACTCCGCCACGCACTTACCGATTCTTGACAGAATCAGCATCATCGTCTGCTGCTGCTTCCGGCTGCAGATGCATTCCGCTCTGCGCCCATGTCACTGTCAGCCAGTCTGTAACAAAAATGAAATGATGAGCACGAGAAATGAAGCCATGTATCCTCAAATATATAACAGTAGTGACATTTATAATTTGCCTATTTCATTGATTTTGATGTTTACAAGTGATTCTTGTACACCTCCCTCTACTGTCTTCTTATATCTCTTTAGCTAAAATTCTTTTCGCAATGGTTGTCTGGAAGAAATCGCTTTCTGACCGTACTTCCTTCCTTCATTTGTGATTTGCTTTTTCTACATTTGTTTAGTGTACAATAAAGTATAAATAAATAAATAAATACTTGATTTCAGTTAACAGATATTAAAATTTAGCTCTATAATTCTATTTATTCCTCACTACTTACATGTTCCAAAGTTTCAAGTATCGTACTTAACTATAGTATGTAACGTAACTGAAATAACTTTGCGCGTGTGGAACGGAACATGTGTTGGTGATATAGAGGTTTACGATGTTGCCTATTAAAACAGGCAAAATATTCAAACAAGCTTACAGGTAATGAGTCCATAATGTCGTAATTTCAAAAGTAAATAAAAATTAATGATTACATAAATAATACTCAAGTCGCATATCTCTTCAAACGATAAAATTAGGTATGTTTTATTCCAATTTTCATCTTCATATGTTCGTTTAACGGGATCATTTTAAAGAACAGCTTCATTCTTGTTTTTCGAATTCACCCAGATAGTTATTTAGAAAACACATACATTTTGTCATGTTAAAGTACTCAAGCGAACAGTTGCAACGGGCGAGTCATGATTTTAAGTGACTACCGCCGCTCATGGACGTTTACAATGCACGGGGGCTTGTCGATGCGTTAACAATCTTTAACTTTGAGTGAGGTAAAGTATCCTGGTTACATCACACACGAAACGCGAAAGTATAATACTTCCACTATACTCAGGTATTCAAAAAAATGCTTGGACCATACAGAATTGCGTACGATGAAACAAAATTCATGGGATATCGTAGGCTCGTATGTTATATTAATGCAATAATACAAAGGTTGTCGACGGCACGCTCCCGCATAAAAACCTGAGTTATGGCCAAGACCAGGTGTACTTGGACCCCTAGTGTTCCAATAACTCCGCCTATTTCAGGTGCAAACTGTTTACCTATAACGAATCTGGGTTCAATTTACGATTGTCGCCTAACGAGGAAAAAATGAATTATTATCGCAGGTGCGACTCAACGCGCAAACATAAAATACGTATAAATGGAACAATTGGGCACTTACATTTTAGTAAATATCACATAAAATCGTAAATGGATTATCATACATTACCCGTACCCAAAATGAAATTTTAATATTAAACCTAACAATATAAAAAAGCCGTTGAATATTACCATTTTATTTGTACGCTAATTATGTTGAAAGACTGATCTGGAGAAAATTTAAGAATGCCATAGACCTTTTATTAAAAAGGTTTGCCTGTCACTCTTAACTGGGCAATACTTTTTCATTTTCTTGGAAAAAACTAAGTAAATTATAGTATCGTCGGTGCGCCATTAAGATACAAAACCACACAATCAATTATAGTATTTTTAATGACGCTTTTTATTAAATTATTTGTGCTGAATACACTGTGGAGGTGAATACTTTCGTGGAGGACCAAACCACTACACTTAACACAAACGGTAGACACCAGACGTTGTACGTCCCAAGAACAGCCCAGACAAAAGAGCCTTGAATAAATAGTCTACTTAAGCAACGCAGAGAACAATATCTTTCGAAGCACCTTTGGCAATAATGGAACAATATAATCTCGTTATAATATTGAATAATTAATGTTCATCAAAACTTATATTAAGGAGCCTTCTTATATTTCGCAAGATAATAATTTTGTTAGTAAATTGTTTGATAAAAAGATATTACAATATTACATTCAAGAATTCCTAGTGGTAATAGAGAGTCATAAAATCTATTTTGCTTGGCCCGGCGATTATTAAAATGTATTAATAAAGATGTTGTTTTAAATATTTACATCAGCAAAGGCAAACAGAAATCATCAAACTTACTTTTACTTGTATTCACTGATTAGGAAAATACCACGAGCTATTCGACAAATGGGCAAGCTTATCCGGGGAAGTAACACGGCATCACAGAAGTCTGGGGTGAAATTGAAGTATTAGGGTTCCGCGTTCGTCTAGTGAGGTAACTGGGTTCCACCTTTTTAAAGGTTGTCAATTCATCAGCAAGCCATCGGGTTTTGTGAATAAGCGGCGGTATTCATTTAAGATCTGGTGAGCAGCCTGCTCGCTCGACAACTTTTCACAAAAAGAATCCACGTCCAATCAACTATCGAAGAATGATTATGCCTTGCTTCATTGGCAGTGTCAAATTCCGTTGTGTAAACGTTTACTGTCAAACGTGTACGGTCAAACTATAGAAAAAGCATTACTGCTTACTTTTTCTATAGTATTTAGTTATATCTAAAGGTACAGATTTCCATGAAAGTTTGACTTTTTCGCAAAAACTTTTTGAATGCAAAATGCAATGATAATAGTGAAAACAATATAAACAAAAAAAATAGCGTCAGATGAGTTGACAACAATAAAAATAGAGTCAGATGGAGACCGTTTCGCTACCTCCAACATAAATCTTTCTATAGCCCAATATAAGCTCGTGTGATATTCTCAATCTCATACATCTTTTTTTTTTTTTTTTTTTTTTTTTTTTTTTTTTTTTTTTTTTTTTTTTAATGATTAAAGACAATCTTTATTGATCTAATATTTACAAGATTAAATCTATCTAAAATTACATATTATCTAATAAACCTAATGCACGCGGCATGGTGCCAAGAACGCTAGCTGCATTTCCTCGCTGAATAGTTATGCTCAACCTTTGCGCGAGAAAAGAACCAGCTCTCTTGTCACCAGCCGCGGCGTTAATCCTAGGACATAAACTTTTAAAATCTCATACATCTCACTTCCGAATGATGAAATTATGTAAAACTATCGGGCGCCAGTCGTGCGCCGCTTGACGAGGGTCTATCGAGGCGCCCCGCTTTATTTGGTTACAGGACAAATTCCCTATCGGTTTTCGTTGTTGTGTGTCAGTTTTAACGGCCGGCGGATTAATGATTTAAGTTTATTCGTCTCCCAGGTGGCGTGGCCGGCTCGTGATGTATTTATTGCGCGAGTGCGATCAGTTGAATTTAAAATTTTGCCATTGCAATTTCGCTCGTATAAGGGTACTAGGGTACGATACGTTTTAATTGGCGCTCATATAATAGCGCATTATCAATTATAATTTATAGTATTTTTATAAAAGGAAAGAAAATTTAGATTACTGTCTTAATTTTTGTGTTAAGTTATACTTTTGCTAAACTAAGATATCATCATTAGTTATATGTATGGTACAATTCTTTGATATACCTGTCCCATTACCTCCTGGACGCCCGAGGAAGCGATGACTAGACGTCGTGAAATAGGATATAAGAGCCATTAGACTGACACCTGAGAATGTTTAAGATCAGGTAAAGTGGAGGAGCTTGTAGTAAGTAGTTTGGAGGAGTAGGAAGGCAGACCTTGGCAATAGCCGGGTTAACGCCAGGTAGAAGAAGACTTATAAGCTGTAATTCTTTAAATTAACCTTCAAACTACACTAACCCATCGTTTCCTACAAAAACTTTAAGCAGTTCGGTCGATCGCTTTCTGTGCAAACTTTTGAAATAAACTCAAAATGTTTCATTATTTTAGTGTTAAAGTTTTACTAAATCTTTGTTATGTATACGGGCAGGGAGCGAGTTGAACAACCGGTAGCTTGCTATGCACAGATTTATTGACAAGGCACATGGCGCAGGCACGCATACTTATACATACATAACAATTCCCCACCCTATTTAGAAATAAATAAAACAAAATTATGATCTAAAAAAAGAACAAGTAACCTAAAAAAAACGTTTATAATCGACCCTGGGGAGGGGGCGCAATCTATTTCGAGTGCCTTCGACTCGATCATTATTTAAATCTGCTTCTGCTTCATGAAACTCATCGTCCGGCTCTGAGCGAGGCGACAACACGGGGTCTTCTACTATATCACCTTCCCTTGGACCGGGCGACTCTTCTCCCTCTGCTGAGGAAACTGGGCTAAGATTTGTAATTGTTGTCGGTTGAAGCTTTGACGGTGATGATGGTGATGGTGGCGATGGTGATGGCGGTGACGACGACGGAGGTGTAAATGTGTTTCCAGTGTCGCAAGTGCTCCTTCTCTCGTTTGCGTCCCCGTCCCATGCATTACAGTCATTAAATTTAGCTTTATATAAAATTAATTGATTTTTATGTTTACGATAACATACTTGCGTGTCCCAATCTATAACTAAGTAGATGACTTTACCAATTCTTTTTTTTATTGTTCCTTTACACCAGATGAACTTGTTGTTTACGTATCTTTTATATAAAACGAAAGCGCCAGGTGACAGTTCCTTAATACGCACTGGTTCTTTATTCTGTGAACACTTTTCCGCAATTGTTAAATCGAATGAAGCCGCAGACGCAGACATCGATGAAGTAGGTACTAATTTGTCTAACCGCGACTTTAATTTACGCCCGAAAATTAACTCAGCGGGTGACAAGCCGGTGGTCGAGTGCTTTGAATTACGGTAATCAAATAAAAATTTTAATAAATTATTCTTAGATTGTTTTATATTACTACTAGGCATAATACTTGACTTTATTCCTTTTTTTATTATTTTTACGTAACTTTCGGCTTGGCCGTTACTAACCGGGTGATACGGTGGCGACGTGACGTGCGATATCCCGTTTGTTTCACAGAAGTTTTTAAAATCTTGAGAAGTGAAAGCTGTTCCATTGTCACTCACAATCGTTTGCGGTATCCCAAACCTAGACATGAATTCGTACATTTTCTCAATGACTGTACCGGTGGAAGTCGAACTAGCTGTATCGTATATCTCCGGCCATTTAGAATACGAATCGATGACCACTAAATACATGCGCCCGGCTAT